ATTTTTTTTTTAATATGTGTATGTGTGTGTGTGTGTTTCCAGAGTGGTTCTGAAGCCGACATGTAACGCGGACGGGAGCTTCCACCCCGTGGTGTGTGACCACGACATTGTCACTGACACACGCATCGCCTGCTACTGTTGGGGCGCAGCCGGACCCGTCATCGCTACCGAGGCGGCTACGCCAGAGCTGACCAACTGCTCCAGTGAGAGATGCTTCGTGCTGTTTTTGTTTGTGTTGTGTTTTGTATAGCTGTGGTTTGTGTTTGTGTTTTGTATAGCTGTGGTTTGGTTTGTGTTTTGTATAGCTGTGGTTTGTTTTGTTTTGTGTTTTGTATAGCTGTCTATTGGTTTGTTTGTGTTTTGTATAGCTGTGGTTTGGTTTGTGTTTTGTTTGGTTTGTTTTTCGGGGCTGAGTGATTGCTCTTTTGGTGTTTTTTGTGTTTTGTTTAGCTGTGGTTTGTTTTGGTTTTGCAAATGACACAAAACATGTACAAAAACTAAAACTCTTACCAAAACTAAGACCTCGTATCAAAACTAAGAACTTATCAAAACTAAGACCTTGCACTTTGTGTAAAGACTTCCTCAATGACCAATTTGTGTTGCAAATGCCATAAAAAATCGTTATCAAAACTAAAACCTCGTACTTCGTATGTAACTTCCTCAACGACCAATTTATGTTGCAAGCACCGTAAAAACTCGTTATCAGAACTAAGACTTGGTCCTTTATGTAATGACTTGACCAGGGCTGGAGGAGGCGTGCACAGAGCTAGAGGCCTGCCCTAACCTCAAGTGTGCCTACGGACATCAGCGGAACACCCTGCACTGTCCTATATGCCAGTGCCGCAACCCCTGTCAGGTGAGTGGGTCGTCTTTGACATCGTCATTATCATCATCATCATCATCATCATCATCATCATCATCATCATCATCATCACCATCATCATCATCATCATCACCACCACCATCATCATCATCATCATCATCATCATCACAACCACCATCATCATCATTATCACCACCATCATCATCACCATCATCACCACCATCATCATCATCATCATCACCACCATCATCATCATTATCATCATCATCATCATCATCATCATCATCATCATCATCATCATCATCATCATCATCATCATCTTCAGCAGCAGCATTGATGAAGTTGCTGTATAGTATGAAAAGAAAAAAGAGAAAATATTTTGGAAATTTTGTGGTAGCATCATTATCATCATCATTACCATAAAGACAAATCGATAGATAGATAGATAGATGGATAGATGGAATGATGGATGGATGGATGGATAGATGGATACATGGATAGATAAATGGATAGATAGATAGATAGATAAATGAATAGATAGATGGATAGATATATAGATAGATAGATGGATAGATAGATAGATTGATATATAGATGGATATATGGATAGATAGATATATGGATAGATAGATGCATTGGATAGATGGATAGACAGATGGATATATGGATAGATGGATAGATGGATAGATAGATAGACAGATAGATAGATAGATAGGCAGACAGACAGACAGACAGACAAACAGACAGACAAATATATATTTAGACAGACAGACAGACAGACAGACAGACAGACAGACAGACAGACAGACAGACTGGCAGGCAGGCAGGCAG